AAAGACCAAACGTTTCAGTTGAGGTGAAAAAATCTTTAAAAATACTGTCTTAGCTTGTCTAAATTTTTTTCTCACACATTCAGCTACGTCCTTCATATTTGGCATTTTGATTTATAGGGCAATCTTAACTATTAAAGACTTTTTAACATACCCGTGCAGAACTTGAGCCGCATTGTGCCTTGTGTCAATGATGAATTAATTCCAGTAGAGCACAAAAGTTACCATTATTTAAGCCCAGCTCCTCACCTCCACTTTTACATCATAGTCAAGTTTGAAAAGGCAGGATTTTAGCCTGCTTCTTCGGAGGTGAAAGCRTTTAAGTAGGAGATGGCCCTGGAGAGTGGCTCCATCTTACAGTGGCTCACGCTCAGGGTATTTAATCTGGTGTGCTGTCCATACATGTTCTCTGTGTATGGGTGTAATCAGGGACCTTAATGGTGTAGAGGGATTTGCTTCAGGAGGTTTGTCTTGATGGTGGGACCACGGTCCTCCTGATGCCTGAACATACGGGGTGCTTGTGGTGGCTACTGGTCACCCTGTCTTGAGTACGGCCACTAGTGATGCGGTTGGTCACTGCTCCTTGAACGTGCAAAGACGTTCATGGAGGGCCAAGATGGGTAGAGAGGAACATGCCAAGGTCTCGTTTGCGGGGGCAAGGAGGAGGCAGTAACCAGRAGGCAGCGAGTCGCATGCCCTCGCTCCCACTCGCTGAAAGCTCCCCCTGGACCGGAGGAACGTGCCCCAAATTGCCAGAGGCCTCTCCGAGATGAAAGGCTGACGTGTGTTTTCCAGAGGAACTTCTCTCGGAAAGACGGACCCCTGGTGGCAGCCGCGGTGCCGGCCTCGCCAGGGCAGCCGGGCCTGGTCGGGCCGAGTGGCTCCCGGCCTGTGTCTTCCGCTGCCGACTTGGGCAAAACCTGCACCTCCGAGGGGAAAATACCCCAAACAAGCCCAGCATTCCCTGCACCCTATCATAAAGTAAGGAGGTCTAATTGAGCTGTGCCTCTCTATCCTGCTATTTATACAAATAAAAGACCACATCTTGATGCAAAATAAACACAAAAGCACTGTTGTGACTCTAACAGGGAGTCATATACTAATTTATATAATAAGTGGTTGTGCACGCTTTATTCAAGATTATGGCTGCAAGAAATGGCATGAATTGCTGGGTGTGTTTAATGCTGGATTATAGCAATTTGAAACATGTCAAACACATGGCTAATGCCTCATGCTTCACTCATTCTTGCGTAAACCTGCATAGCCACCATCCATTATACCCTTGGTAACAACACAATTCTGCAAGTAAATATTGTTACACTAAGTAACCTTTCAATTCAAGTTGTTTAGGAAGAGAAAATGCAATCTTGTGCAGTCAGTTCCAGTGTCAGTTTAATGTTTCAAAAGGGAAGCGGTGTAGAGAATAAGTATCTGTGCGGCGACTTGCCACTTTAAACCGCACGCTCGCACACGTGTGTTGGTGGGTGCGCGGGCACACATGCCCCAAACTCCCCGTTTCCTGCAGGGCACAAAAGTCAAACTGGAACTGCTAACTTCATAGGACTGCTATTCCTTTTTTTTTTATTTTTTCCTTTTCTTTTTTTTTTTTTTTTTTTTTTCTGATGTGAGTACTTGCCCGCGTTCCCCGGCGGTATTAAGCATTCAACCTGCAGCGCAACTGCGCGCTAAAATAACCTGCGCTTCCCTCTCCCTTCCCGGGAGCAGCAAGTATTTTTCCCTGCCGCTTTGTTGGCAGCGTGTGAGGGCAGAGCCGCTCTCGCAGCTCCGGGCAGCGGCGGCCGGCGCGTGTGCGTGCACGTGCGTGTTTGCAGAGGTGCGCGCCCCGCGCGCGCGCTCCGCACCGACCGCCAGCGGGGCAGAAAGGGGGGATTAGGGAGTGCGAGTGTGGATCCCTCTGTGCACACAGGGGCGCATCTATTTCTCCCCTTGCACTATGTGGAATATTAAACTTCAAGGCTTAATGTCCGGCAATCCTTGTGTTCTTATTTCCTTTAYATTTATTTACTTTATATTTATTATATTATTTGTGATTATTATTCTGTCCGGCTAGACACCAAGCAAGAAAGCAAGTATGCTAGTTTGCCTGGTAAGATGTTAGCAGTACAGATTGTTTTGGCACAAATATCTGAAATTACTGCTGTATAGATACTAGAAATCCTCTTCCGGATATTTTCAGTGCTTTAATTTATGATTGTGGAGAGTTGACAGTTCTTGTGCGCACACGTAAGGACATTCACACACACGCCCGCGAGAGAGAGCAAGGGAGGGAGAAGAGAAAGATTCGGTGCTCTTTATGTTCTCAGCAACTCTTTTTTAGCTAASAGCAGTGAGAAGGGGCCTTTGGACAACCAACATCGAGTGTTATTCAAACTGAAGTTTGAATACTGTTTGTTAAAATACCTTTTTACAACTAGAGAAGCATTTCATTTTTAACATAAAATTCTATTGGCTTTTTCTTCTTCATAAAACGTAAAAACTTCAGAAAATCTTCCACCTAACTGGCAAATGAATTACCCCTTCTGATATTAATACTCTATAGCTTTCATTCTGTCTGTACATAGACGTTGGGTCAGATTTGTTGTTTCGCCTGCCAGAATATGACTATTCCTGGTCATGTTATGTTAAACCCGATTCTGCTGGCTCACAGACACTTTAAGTTA